GGCGCAATGAGTGGAAGATGAACCTCACCGTAAAGAGATGTCTTCGTGTTAGTTTTGCACGGAATAATAAAAATAAAATTGAAACGCAATAATAATTACACAATAGAGTTGTGCCAAACAAAAACAACAATAAAATATCTAGATGTCACACTTTCAGCTGACTGCACATGGAACGCACATATCGACGATGTTGTCATGATGACCGGACGAGCACTTACCTTTCTGCGTCAAAACATTAAAAAAAAATATTATCCCAATTTAAAAAAAAAAAAAAAAAAGAAAGAAAAGCTTGCATATGTTGCCTGGCTTTTCCCGCTCTGGAGTAAGCCTGAACTGGCTGAAACCCTTCCCAAAGAAACGAAATTGAAAATCTGAAGAGCTTACAAGCCTGTGCTGCTCGCTTCGTCCTGGGACGGTACGACCGTTATGCAAGCGTCACTGCCACAATAAAAAAGCTAAGATAAAATTCATTGTCACTCAGACGAAAAAAAATACTTGATTAAAGGTCTTATATAGTATCTATCATAAAACCACTGGCATCAATAGTTATTCGTACCTTTTACCACCAAAGTATATTTTACAACGTAAACGCCATTTCTAAAAAAATGCGTGAGCTCTGTAACAGAACGGAATCGGGTAAGAATTCTTTTTTTGTTAAGACAATCAAGGAATGGAATGCTTTGCTCGTGCCGCAAATGCGGAAACATTTTTCTTTAAATGTTTGTTCACCTCCGCGATAATGCCCGATAGAGGCGCTGCCGGTTGATATTGAATAAAGAAAGTAACGAAGTAGCGTTCGCAAGTAGGTTTTAAACCAAACAACTTTAAAAAAAAACGACGGTTACTTTAAAGTGTGCGGAAACTGTTTTTAGATTATGCAAAAGCCACAACGGTGGTTCATCAGCTTTCGCACAATCTACAAAGAGTTGCCGCACACCTTGAGACGCCCGTCGTTTATTCCGCCCCGTCAAAGCTGTCCGGTCTCTGCCTCATCACGGCCACTGCTCTTCACAACAGCCTCGAGGAGAAAACGGAAGCCCACGTCGTTGCTCAATACCACCGACTCACCATGTCCAAGCAAAGCCGCGCCGTTGTGTCCACCCTCGGATATCCGATTGCCCACCTCTCTCCCCTTCCCGAAAAACCCCCACCATGGGATACGATTCCTCGCATTGCGGTCAAGCCCATTCCTCGACAGATGAACCCCACCGTGGATCTCGGAAGACGACAAAGGAGAGCCCCTCGTCTTCCCACACCATGCACCGCACGATGTATATGCAAAGCGCAAGTCTGTCTGCGTCTTGCACAGGGGTTGCGATTATGTCAGAACACCGAGCTCCTATTGGCTGATCGAAAACAATAGTGGGTAGACCTCGAGGCATCTAGCATTAATGTATACCCACTATTCTTTCAACTAAAGCCATTCAGAGCTCGGTGTCATTCTGAGGTCTCCGCAACCCGTGTGCAAGAAGCAGACGACTTTCTCTTTGCATTACACGGACGCCGCTTCTCCGATGGCATATCTACCGCTGTCATAGCCTCAAAAGAGATACAGTCTGACACCATGCACATGTACTCTTCCCTGCAGCGGCAGAGGCACAGTTCATATGAGAAGCCATACACTTACTAGCCCGACTTGTCCGATTTTATTACTATCCGTTCAGATAATCGAGGAGCCCTCAGAGACTTCTAAACCAACTCCGCATACCAGCACACATAAAACACGACTTGGCCTCCTACATGGCAGCCACATCTCCACGTCTTTCTTGAGTGGGTAACCGGATTCCAAGGAATCGCAGGAAACGAAAAGGCCCACGTCCTTGCTCGCGCAAACGAGATTCCGAGCAACCCTGAGTCCTGGTCCCCCGGACTACAATCCCAAAGAAAAACGTACCACCCATTGCAAGGCTCGAAGAGAGCGCCTGAATGACCTCCGCCTTTCCCGCCCGGACCCTTCACCCTCCCATCCCTAAACTCACACGCCGCAAGGTTGCATACGTTCGCCAGGCACAGACATTCTCCCTGCTGTGCGAAGTCATAACCTACCACATTAAAAATTGGCCGGAACCCCCTCCCCCCTCCCCCCCGGTCAGGTGCGTGACGCGTCGACGCCAGACACACCTGCTGGTATTGTCCTCGCGCCCACCAATCTCCACACTTTCTTCTTTCACATATCCTCGCTTCCCCCATTCCCTTTACCTGCGGCGATCTGGGCTACTCTCTTCTTGGACCTCCGCCCTATCCTCTGGCCTCGCCTAGCGCTGCACATCTCTCGTGTGCGGGACCCGTTGACCTCGACAACACTCCCCCAAGCTCCGACCTGACCCTTGTCAAGGACCACCAGAAGGCCTCACTATGAGTAACCACAGCCCGGACATGGGCAGTTTGAATAAAGGCATTCTATCTCTCTCTACCTCTCTCTGCGAAAGAATAAAAAAAAAAAAAAAAAAAGAAAAAAAAAACATTTGTAAAGAAACACACCACTCCGTTCATTGAATGTGCTACGCCAGTCGTGTATGGAATCTCAATGACGTGCGACAAGGTGTATAAATGGGCACATGGGACGGACGGGAAGGTGCTTCGGTGACAAGATGCGCCAGCGTGCGGTGTCTACGTTCGGGCAACCTCGCCGAGCACCACGAAAGATCAACACTTCCTCGATACGAAATCCTAAGTGCTGAATTTTCCTGCCTCACTAAGGAAGGCCACCGCAGGCCAGAGATTGGACGCGACTATGACGTAAGCGTTCGGCTGGGAGTCTTGTTCTCACTGATTGGACCCGAGATCCAACCGAACTCTGACGCCGTATCCAATATGCGGTCTACGGTGGCCTTCCTTAGGGATGTAGGAAAATTCAGGTGTTGGACAGATGCCCAAGTAATTCGTATCTGCAATAAACACAAAAAAATAATAGGAAAACTCAAGAATAACACTGACAGGGAAATTTCCGAAGCGTATAATTATAGGTTCCGTGGTTTGGGGGTTTATTTTGGGTCAAAATCAGGGGTGTTTCTTTAGGTCTACGCCCCCCCCCCCCCCCCAAACACACACACACACACACACACACACACACACACACACAGATTCGGTGTTTTTCGATGTCAATTTTTCGAGTCAGTAAAGGAATCGGCGTTTACCGGGACTTAAGTTTCAGAAAATAAAACACGGGAATTGGATTTCCCAGCCTGCAGAGAATACTGGTTATGATCTAAGAACGTATTTGTGTCGTAAAAAAAACAAAAGAAGAAAAGAAATGGGACAGGGATTGAGTTTTTAAAGAATTAAGCAGCCTCACGGACAGTTCAATGAGGCGTACATTTAGGGTTAACACAAAATGAAACTGCAAACACAAATTTTCAGCTTTGGCTTTTCTTAGTCAAGGAGAGCTCCAGTTCGGGGTTCTTCGGTTTTCATTGATTCTTATAAAACCGTCTCGGAAGTTAATTATCGGGGTTTATCGGTATTTACCGAAAAAAAAAACAAAAAAAAACAAAAACAGAACCCTACGTATAACATGCGGGCGAGGGGAAAGACAGACTGTGTAAGTTCACCGTCACTGCACCTATCTGATAAGACATTCGCCTTCCTGTGCCGGGAACATGACGATGTGTATACACGTTTGCAAGAAAGGCTCCTGTGCGCTGCCATTTTGAGCGATGCTGGCGCCCCGTACCGTTTCCGCCATGCTGGGGTGCGCCAGGGGCACGTCAGTGGGGTGCGCGATGACAAGATGGTGCCGTTTGCTGCATCGCCGATGGCTAAAGTTAGCGGCACACTTACTGTCTCGGAACGCAGGAGGAGGTATCCACACAGTATCGTAGCATCACATATTGTAGGACGGGACATCTTTAAGGGTTGGAGTCGACTTTATAACGATCGCAGCCTCTGTTCCTGCATGTTGTGGAAACCAGAGCTGCCGCGAGCGCAGCCATCGTTGATGCAAAGGCCATGCGACTTGTGGCGCATTCTGAAGAGCGCCTTGAGACTTCAGATATTTTTGAAATTTTTTTATTTGTTACCGGTTTAGGCATTCTATTTAATTGTCCGTGCTCTTTCGCGGTCGAAGACGACACGTGTACGTTTTATAATTATTTTTTTAATTTCTTTCTGCGCTCAGTGGTGTACGCTCCGGCGAGAGACGCTTGGCAACATTGTACGACAACCAGCAAACGTCCTGGCTGGAGAGTAGGTCCGCCTCACCTTGGCGCGCGGTTCGAGGTTAAGCCGGGATCCCACTTGCAAAGGTGTATAAATAAGGTGTGCTTTCGTTTTTCACTAAACAATCTTGTAACTTGTAAGTAGCGCTCGGTGTCGTCTTGTTCTCTGTCCCTGTCTTTGAGGCGCTAATTCTTCTTTCGATGTACACTAGCCTAACTGTCCATTTTGCTTCCCTTGAATGTATACATGTAAATGTCTGAAATTCCTGGGTTTGGAGGGAGGCTGGGGTTTGAATGGAAGCACGTTTTAGTCGTATTCCACGTTTTACGCACCTGCGGTGCTGCTTTGGCCTTACCCCCCCCCCCCCCCCCCCCCCCTCCCTCCTATCCCCGACGTGAGCCTCGGATGCCAAACGCAGTGTTTAAGCGGGCCTTTAAGGAGGGGTCACACTACCCACACCATTATACAAAAGACAGTCTGCAAACATCAGACACGCGATGGTTCGAATACCGCATGCCGAGTTTCGATCTCCATGAGTTCGTTGCCACGGGGCATTTGAAGCACGTACCTCGTGTTGGCTTGTGTTCGAATCTTTGCAGACTGTCTTTTGTGTGATGGTGTAAGTAGTGTGACCCCGGCTAAAGCCGCCTAAAGACCGGGAGATATCATCCTGGCGTAATCGAGCGAGGGTCTTTAAGAACTAAAAACAGCGCAAACAAGGTGAAGGACCAGAGCAGACGGAGAGACCAAGCGTGTCTGTAATTCCAGCCCCGATTACGGCGACGAAAGGAAAACAAAGGTGGCGTAACTTGCGCTCCAAGGTCGGACGATCCAGCACTTACCATCCTGCTCGGAATAGAGCCTCGAAGATTGGGGGAAGGAGGAAGTCGTCGCTGGCCATCGTCCAACGGCGGCCAAAGAACTGTACACTCGGCATCTTGACCGCGCACCTGAATCGGATTAACACACAAAAAAAGAAGAAAGTCATAAATTACATTAGCCCGACTATGATGACAATGATCGGGAAGCACAAAATGTGTTGTGAATGAGCCGGGCACATGCTATGTGTGCGTGACGTCACGTGACGTCTCGTAATGTCACGTGACATCGTGACGTCACAGAGTCACGTGATATTTGGGATGTCGCGATGTCAGGTGACATCAGGGCGTCACGTCACTGTTAAGGCCCGTTCACACACTAGCAACCGAGTACGACCGAGAGAGATGAGACGCGTTGAAACCTTTTTAAATTTCTTAGGACGAGAAAACACACTGGCACGCTGGCGCCATCTATGCGGAGACCTTGCAACTGCATTTCACTAGAGCGAAGGTTTTGCGGGATTTCCGAGGTAAAATGTGTGTAATAACTATGAGAAAATCTCGTTCATAACGTTGAAAAAAGTTTTTCGAGCTAAGAAAGAAAGGATTATACGCGAGAAAAATAGGAAATATGCCGGACCACCAAGTTTACACTGCTACCCAATAAATGGCGCCAGTGTGTCCTGTCGTCCAGAGCCGTATATGTAGAGAGCTTGGCCATTCGTTGGGGAAGTATAGGAAACAAATGAGGAGGCGCCATTGGCCAAAAGCGGGCTGGGCGTGTTCCAGGGCGTCTTCACAAATTCGAATGTGACCAACCAGAAGCCGCAAATAATACCCTGGCGGTGGTCGCAAGAAACAAATCTGATAACTGCATCGGAGTAACTCTCGGTGACTGAAAACATGGTACACGTGATGTTTCAATCACGCTCATCCAAAATGACAATGGAAGATTGCGACTATCGGAACGATCGACATAATCCTTACGCCAAGCGCCGAGGGCCTGGAATCTGCCGTCCGAGCGGTCACACTCTGTCCGAGAAAAAAGGAGTTGAGCGGCGCATTCGTTTCTTACATCTTTCTGCATGATCATGATCAAAACATCACGTGCATTCTATATTCAACCACGCAGAGTTACTACACTTCACTCATGCGCGATTATTCAAACCACATACGAACATACACCTTCGATCAGAACTGTTTCTCGCTACCACCTTTAGGGGATTTTTTTCGGCTTCTGCATGGTTGGTCAAGAGAGCACGCCAAGCCCTCTTTCTGAGTCTGGTGCACGCCCTGGCCCTGCCCGCGCCTCCCATTGACCAAACTCTCTATATACACGGCTCTGCTGTCGTCGTAAGAGATATTAAGGGGTTCCAAGACACTCGATTCTAAGAGGTCGCAAGTGTGTGAACGGGCCTTTACACAACGCCAATGGTGCCACGAACGTGACGTGACGATGTCACGCGACGTCAATGCCCTTCGTGTCAGTTCTTGGTGACATTTTTCTCATACTATTCGTCCGATAAAACACATTCTGTATGCAAACTTACGGTCCCAGCGTGACCTTCCTCACCCAGAGAATTTTGCTTTCGTTTATTACTCCCAATCTCTTTAAAAATAAAATTTCATAAAAAAAAAGTCCCCTAAACGTTTAAAGCGAAAGTGTAATACGTAACTTCCCCCTTAGATTTAGCGGGAAAAACGTAATTGCTCTAACCCCATCAAGCAACATTCTCGGTCACAATTTCCTGGGCACAAAACAAATGATGTGCTTTAGGCTTTGTATTTTTCTAATCCCTTTACCCGACTAATTAATCGATTAATCGGTTTCCCATGCATTCATTCCCATGCATAATAATTTTTTTTTAAATTCAAAATTACATTTTGTTTTGCTTTCACTGTTTATGGGAAGAACGGTAAAATGTACAATTTCAGATTTTAAATCGACTTCGATGTGTAGTTGAGAACAGTCAAAAGACACCTATTCATAAGTTATTACTTGAGCAGCGGAGGAAAAGAGGTAATCTTCGCCAATAGCGAACTCCGTTGATCGTCTACGACCGCCTCTGCTGCGCTAAACGGACACCCGCGTGGCGTTGAAGTTATCGGGACATGTAGAACCTTCTGCATTTGTTTGGAGTTACAGTGCGCCGCCATCTTGAATTGACGTCACTTCCAGTATGGGCGAAAACATTGTTTTGCCTTTGCCACGCCAATAGAAGGCATTTAGGATCTAAGCGTAACCGTCGCACTTTCTCGTTTTGCCTCCCCTTTATTTTTTTCCTATTTGCAGGTTGAAACGTTGGATTATTATTCCGTCGCCCATACTTAGCGGTCGGGGGAGAGAGTAAGCGGAAAAGTTTGAAATTTTACCGAACGTTTTGCCCTCATGCAGGTCCACGTCTGCCTGGTAAAGCGTTACATTTCTACTTTTTTGTTAGTCAAATAAATTAGTCGCGATTAAAGCATTAATCGATTGATTGGTAGGCTAATCTATCGAGCGCCCAGCACTACCGAATTCCCCCTTTCTGTAGATAATTAAGGTATATGTGGGTGCTTTCGAGGTAAGATATATGTTACCTTTATCAAGACGTACATCGTTTCAAAAGCTAAATGCATCGTTTCGTGCCTCCAGCAACCAAATCTCGTAAGAAGTACTTCGCGATGCGTCTGAACGGGGCGCAGAACTTTTTTTTTTTTCTTGAGGCGAATTTGAGTACGACACAACAATCTCTGTCTCCCAACATTGCAAAATCAGCCTTTTTGTAATCAAATTAAAAAAAGAAAAAAAAGGAAAACAAATATTAATTACAAAAATTAGATTTATTTGATTTACATCAGATTAGATTCATTTAAATCATTTTAGCTGGAAAATACTGATTATTTACCACTAGATAAAGACATGACAGATTGATTGATTGATATATTCGTCCAATCACTCGCAACAATGCGGAAGGAAGAACTACTGCAAATGTAAGGTGCAAATTAATTAACACATTTTATTACTGTAACCCCGCCATACTAAAACGAAGACAATGTATTTTTCCTAATAAATAAAAAAAAATATTTTTATATTTGTTTTGAGGGCATACTTGATTGGAATATGACATTAATTTTCGAGTTTTCGTTGATTTTGCGTTTTGATTTTGTTGCAACATTACGTTGCGTAGGTGAAAAATGAAGTGAAAGGTTAAAATCAAGCCCAACGCTCTGATTTCATCAGAAGGGCGTTTTTATGTTTTAAATAGACAAACATAAAATGCACACAGAAAGCCTCAAATGATATACAAACAGTAAATAAAGAAATATTTGCGGGATTACTTTTCAGCAAAGGTTCGATTTAAATCATCACAGCTAGTGAAACTGATCTGATCTAATCACAATATAAATCATGATTTAAATAATCATTTAAATCATGTTGATTTTTTCTCCATCCTGCTTCGAACCCACTTAAGAAGAACAGTAAAAATCGATTTCTCAACGTATCGCCTTACGGTTTACTACAAAGATGCGGCAGTGGGGTGGATGGAAGCGTGGAGAGAAAACACGAACAAAAAACTCGCATCGCTCAAAAAAATAAAACATTTTTTGGGCAGTTTTTTACAACATTCGTAGACGATGTCCTGCCCGTGCTCGCCCAGTTTGCGCCATATTACATCCGCCATTGCTCACTTTCTTTTGTTTAACCGAGATACCGAGCCACTGAAACGGGCGTTGACGAGCCTCAACAAAGGCCAATGCTGTGGAGAAGCTAGAACACAGTAGAATCTAAAAGGGCAACAACCTGTGCTGCTGCGGTAATGATGAAGTGAAGTAAACCGAATAAGAGGAAACAAAAACGGAAGGTCGGTTAAGGTGGCGCTCATGCACAGCTGCTGCAAAGCGTCTATTTGCCGCCAACAGATGGCGCAACGTGAGAAGCGAGAGCCACGAGGAATTTAGATATCTGTTTTGCCGTTTAGTTTTTTTACGAATAAATTATCGCAATTTTAGAGTTCTACATTAGATAGACGAGCGTCGGCACAGTGAATCTTTTAAGTTGACCGCATGCTAAGCTTGGCTTCGGCGCCCCAGAGAGCCTAGGTTGAAGAGAGGGGCCACTCAATTTCTCGAACCCTGAAGGAGCGTTTGCAATTTAATGGCGGACACCTCTTGCGGCGATCGGTTCGCAAGTGCGCAGGCGCTGCGTTTTCGTCAAGGAGAGAAGCAGGAGGAAAGGCGGAGGCGTTTGCAGACGATCAACGCGTTCGTCACCTCGTCCCAGCTCGTGTTGCAAATGCGGCCCACAAACCACGTGACCACGATCTAGCAGTTGGAAACTCTTTGTAACACAGGCTCTCTACGGCGCGCCCTCAACGCTTCCATCTGTCGCCGGCAAATACACCTAGGCGAGTGCGCGGATCATGACACCGTCTGCGAAGGCTGCCATGGATTGCTGGAAACAGCTTCTTTTTTTTTCTTTTTTGAAGAAGGTAAGTTTATCCATTGATATTTTAACTCCAAGCTTCCACCCCCTAGCCGAACCTCTGTAGAAAATCGCAGCACGATACATCAACAAACTGATTTTTGCTACCCATTTAAATCGGATTTGAAGCGTGCTTTTCTGCGGCCCATCGATTAGGCTCAAGCGTATGAAAGGTAGCATATGTGTCTGGGAATTGTGAATTATTTTCGTTTTGTTGCTTGGTAGAAAGCTTTTCTTACGTCCATCCTTGAACGTGGCACAGAAAGTCACATTGTGAAAGGAAAAGGAGTTAAGCAGGAGGAAGCTCTTTACGGTCGCTCATTAGTCACCTAGCTATGTTTGGAGATTTGTTTTTGTCCTTTGTCCCTCTTGTTCCCCTTCTCCAGGGATTATTTTAATCACTCTTAAGAGAAGTTGTCACCATGTTTCGCATGGCATTTAAGGTTCAGGCAAGCGGACCAGGAAGCATGGCCAGTGAGGACACGAGGAAGTGCTTCTTTTATTCCTCGTGCAATAACAAAGTTGTTTGCACGAAAATTAAAACAAGTGTATCCTTCCGCTTCCAGGTATCGCGATGCCCGTCTCAGCTACAGAGCGTCCATATGGCCAGTGCAGTGCGATTGCTACCTTGGGACTAAGTAGTGCTGACTGTTGAGCGAACTGGTGC